ATAAAAAATAAATCATATGTTTCAATATCAATCTTTTATTTTAAAAAATTTGTACATAAAACATTCTCATTGATAAGATATATCACAGTTCTATCTTATCTTATTTAAGACTATAACTATGTTTATATATATATATATATATTCTCTTCTTATAATAAATGTTTTAAAACAAAATTTTTAAACCAAGTTTAGTAAGTAGAAAGACAAATGCAGAATGTATCACAATTTAAACATGTATTAAATCATAAGCATGGAACAAATAAACTTTTTACAGAAACAATAAAATTATAGTTTTCTTTGTTATCTATACCGAAAATAAATATATTATTAAAATAAACTTTAGGAACTGTTTACATCCTTTGGCATTATTTATCTAATATCACAAGTTTTCCTGTAACATTAATTGCTTACAATTATTAAAAAAAAGTTTAGAAAGTGTGAGCTATTACAAAGTTCAAAATAAAATTTCCTTATTTCATTAAAAGAGAAGACTGAGAAAAAAGTAGCCCGATACACAATGTACTTTAATATAGTAATCGTTAGATAGCATGAAAGAGTATATGCGCGGTGTGTAAATAATTATCAATTATAGTAAGTTAATTACAGAATTGTCGTTGAATCTTCTTTTAGCTTATCAGGTCTGTTTTTAGAATTAGTCAAATCACTAAAAGGTTGTCGACTGATTACGTAGGAATGCTCAGTAATACTCTGATTCTTTCTTACAAATTTACTAGGCACAGCATGTGATTTTAATTTTTTCTTCCCATCAACTCTCATTTGTTCAAATTGATCTTCTTCAAAATGAAACTATTAATAAAAGAAATAATTGTTTATACATACGAGTATATATGTGTAATTATACATACAATATTTTAAAACAAATATTAGGAAAAATTTAAAGTTTACACTTACTTCACAAAGAACTCCAGTCTTGCCAGGAGACCAATTTGGACCTCGATTAACTCTTTTTTTCCATATTTCACGGTACTTAGAATCCTTGAGAAAATATGGCATATAAATTTTCTGTCCTGCATTTATCGGACAGTCCGGAGCTGAGCATCTTTTTACCATATCGCTAATTAAAGAGAAAATAATATAATCATAAAGTGTTGTGGCAATAATCCTTGTATTCATACTCTCATAAAAATCATTGAGTTCCGAGGTTATGTTACATTCTTCTATCGCTGCTTTCCTTTTAGGAGACACAAATCGACACACATCGCTTTCCATTTACAATTTTTTATCAAACTCGACACACTTCGCCTCTGCTCGAGAGGAGAGTCAGAGTATGTGTGACAAACTGTGTTTGAGTGTTATACTGTGTCGATTTGTGTCTCCTAAAAGGAAAGCAGCCTATGTAAATAATATTTTAAAAGATTAAACAATAATCTTATGTGCCAAAGCACATATATATCATTATATGCAATTAAAATGTTTAAACTTACGCATAAAAAATGGTAACATAAAACTTTCATTTGCCTAGGATAGAACGTGTAAGATAATGTGAGATAGAATTGTAGGATAAAATGAAATAGAAGTATGTCACTAGTATTATAAATGGCTGCCAAGCCACGTGACTGTAACAGCGAATCAGAATGCGGAACACCGGTTGCGCTTCTCTGATATCTAGGACTCTAATCCCGACGAAGTCCGAAACGCCATAACCGGATAACCTTCAGATGCTCTATCTCTGTCTTTCTTCCTCACTCTCTCCATCTTTTTCTAGTCCCAGTAGCGTTTTTCTTAAATTTCGTTCCCCCCTCCTTATGCATCATTAACGAAGTTCAATAAATTTTTTTTTATTTTAATTTTATTTCATTTTCATCCCCCCCGCAATTTCTTTCCTTCGAACATACACACGCTCACTCACTTAATTATACGACACCTTTTCTTTGTATTTATTATTTAAGTCCGAATTGATGTACGTTAACACATACACACACATACAGCAAACGTTCACACATCACGCACGCCGTTATTTATCCAATAAATCCTAAATTTCTAAATCTTAATTTAACCATATAAAAACAATAAGCTGTAAAATTATTACTTCAGTTATTCAATATGCTAGTTGACTCTAATAAATAAATGTATAATTTACATATATATTTTTAACTAGAACATTTTATTTGTCATTCATTTTTATTTCCTCGTATCTTCATCCTGCTAATAAAGATTTGCACACGGTCCTGTCCCGGGTAAAGGGATTCAGTTCCTTGACCTACAATAGGACCCACGATCGTACGACTCTTGAAAACGGAGTCATAACGTCTTATTGGAACATTGACCCATATTTCGGAGTCACCTAAGTGCGTTCGACTCGCTCCATCCCCTTCCACTCGGATGCATGCGAGACAAAGCGTCTGTTCTAACGTCCTTCCATACTCCATCCTTCTCATTCCTTCTTTCTCTAAATCAATCCATTCATATATTAGGAGTTGGACGTAACAACAGTCTTCTTTGTGAATCTCCAACCTTGCGCTCGAGCTAAAATAATGGAGGCACCTGCCAATAATAGAGAAATCATTTTTCTATTTCTTTTTACTGTTTTTTAAATATTGTTTTTTTTTATCAACTTTTCTTATACTTACCGGTTGCAAAAAAAATTCTTGTGCTCTTTTTTGGTGAATTGCGAACTCACGAGACGACAGATTTTTGATCCACGAAAAGTGGCCGAGACTGTCGTCGCGTGGATCTTGGAGATACAGTATGACATGCTTCTTGACATGCTTCTCCTTCTTGTTGCCGGTGAGCCGCAGTGGAAGGACCTGTTTATTCTCGATGCTATATACGTTGGTCGACACCGCGTTCAAATGTTCGAATTTCGGAATGTTTTTTAATGTCATCGGAAACTCAATGCCCGCGAGGTTCAACACCGACATGTAATGCTACGATGATTCACGATCTACATTTCTTTCTGCTGTATAGAGCGGCGACCACCGACTACGCGAAGCACGCATTGTCCGTCGAACGCATACTGATCACCACTCGTTTCGTCGCTATTTCCCGCGGCACGTCTATGTGGTATCCCACACGTATGGGATGTAGTTTGTTCACGTTGATAGTTAAATTGAGGATTCGCGACAGCGCTCACCCGCTGTCGCGTTCCTGGAACTCTTCGAGCGACACCAACGTAGGCTAGATGACATATCGTTCGTATCATTCGCGCAAATCGATGTATCGATATGTCTCACTGTTCTTAGTGTTGGCACGTTTATCGTTCGTCACAAACTTACCGTTGAACGCAGTGTTCACCTTCATACTACTGTATCTCTCTTCGGCAACTCGTATCTTTCTGCTACATGTCATCTCATCTGCGTTCGGTATTAACATTTCTAGAGCTAATCGATCTCCTCAATCCACTCTGGATTCAAAGATTGAGTTCGTGGAGCTAATGCAAGTTTTCGTGCCTAAATTGAATTCATAACCTTTTCAGAGGTCCTGAGAGTCGATTATGTATCTTGAAATGAGGTGAAAATTACAGCATCTCCCACTCGCTCGAGCACTATATTGCCAGCGTCTTTTAAAAACCGCTTGATATACTCCGCGTTGATCACCGCACTGATCAGAACACAACTCTCGAACGCAGCGTCGATCTCTTAGACGAGATCTGTTGTCATCACTCGCGTATTCGCCACCAACATGCACGAAACGTCGCTCCAATTGAGTCTTTGCACCCGCGAGTCGCGCGATCCTCGCCACCAAGCATTGTCTGTGTCCCACGACGAGCCGCGGACGTTTGGCACGACAGAATTCTTCCAGCTGTTCGATGGGTAGGGTAGTAACACCGATCCTAATTCTGGAGCTCTGAGGGGTGGGGGGGTGAGGCGCAGGAGGATCCCCGCGGCGCGGGGGGTCCGCGGAGGGGAGAGAGGGGTGATGTCACCAGGCGAAGAGGTTGACGTCACGGGGGAGGATAACGACATCACAGGCGAGGGGAGGATGATGATCACAGGAGGTGACGTCACAGAGTGTAGAAAATTCCATTGCGCGTCGCGATCTGCCGTCGCGTGGGGCCTCCGGGCGCAGTCCGCAGCCGCCATCGCGCGTGGGCCGCCGCCGCTGCCCACGTCGCCGGGCGCGGTCCCCGCTATACTTACCATGTATACTTACCATAGGTGCGTTCGGCATTGCAAATCGGAGGCATCCGTTTGCTCTTTCACCTCGCAAATCGTTCGGTAACTCGTATCTTTCTGCTACATGTCATCTCATCTGCGTTCGATATTAACATTTCTAGAGCTAATCGAGCTCCTCAATCCACTCTAGATTCAAAGATCGAGCTCGTGGAGTTAATGCAAGTTTTCGTGGCTAAATTGAATTCATAACCTTTTCAGAGGTCCTGGGAGTTGATTGTGTATCTTGAAATGAGGTGAAAATTACAAAAGTGAGCAAATTCACTAGTTATTGACCAATTAAATGATGAATATTCTAGTGAATTTGCTCACTTTTATAATTTTCACCTTATTTCGAGTTATATAATTGACCCCCTGGTCGGCGCACGCGTTCGCCAAGTTTCACCTGAATCTCTTCCACGCAGTTGAAATATGTTACTCATAAGTAACGCTACAAATTAAAAATCTTTCTGCATTAAAAATAAATACTCTGCTAAAACAGTGAATTTGTGTTTTTAAAACAGTGAACCACTGTGACAGATTTCCTAACCTGAATAGTTGTCGACTTTAATGATTAATATCTCAGTTCCCAGAGGGTAGAGCGATACTTTTTTTCTTGTCAAATCTTTATTTTTACGCGAAAACGCACCGATTGAGTGCATTTTTATCAATATTTGAGGCGGCCGGGATCTTCTAAACATTTGCTATAACCTTAAATGACGTTAAATGACAGCTCTGTTCGGATGCGTCCGAAATTAATTTTTGGCACTCGGTTTGCTCGAAGATCACGTGATCAAGCTCACCATCTGCTAACTCGCATTTCAGATTTACATTGCCGAACGCAACTCATGTATACTCACCATCTCTCTCGCTCTTATGCGGTATCTTCTTCTTATGCAGCTGTATTTTTTCTTCTTAACGCAAAGTTATTTTATTTTTTATTTTTTTTTAGTTTTTATTTTATTTATTTCAATTATTTTATTTTATTTTTTATTTTTATAACTTTACATTTTATGTTTGCGCGCATCTATTATTTAGTAACAGCGCGATATGTCCATACCGTCGCGTTCGATGATGTGCGCATAATACGATACGGCGAAGAAGGAAGAAAAGAAGGAACGATAAAATGTGAAGATGGAGATATGTTTAATCAAGTAATTATATATTTACCATACTTATTGGTTTTCCCCTATACAGCTTCATATTTCTCCCTAGTACGAACCTTTTCGCAATTAATTATCTCTAGAAAAGATCTTAAATCTATCGCAGATTTGAACGCTTAATATAAGCGCGATGATACGTAACGCGAGTGTTAAGAGTCGCAACGTATACGATACCGCAGTGGTATGGAATGATGGGAGGAAGGAAGCAAAAAAGCGAATAAATGTGAACAATCAGTTAATCTATACATGTATACTTATTTTACTTATTTTTTCTATATATATATAATCTATTTTATCTATATATATATTGTGAGGTGACGTTTTTCACCGTCCGTCACAAGGGTCATTCGACCTGGCCGAAGTTGCGCGGCAAATTTGTCCTGTGTCCTCCCGACGCGCAGGGCGAGCGTGCCGACGCTTGTTGCGATTTTCGAGCGATAATTTGAAGATTTTTATCGTTGCGTTTCGCGTGATATTGTTGTTCCTTTTTGCGAATTTATTTGAGATTTTTAGTATCGGCGGCTGCGGTAGGTAATTTAATGTATGACACATCCTCACCACCTCAAGGAGGCAGCAAAGAAGAGGATAGAAGACCATATTGGAGGCCCGGGGCCACTCGGAGGAGCGATAGCGCACAGGTGATACCGTTCTATATTATCGAGATAACGCCCTGAGCATAACTTGTTTCCCTGTAGCTGAACTTCTTACAGGCGATTATGCCGTGGGAGCGACTAAGGCGGCGTGAGGGGATGGCCACCCTCTGCCATAGTACGAGCGAGGGACCCCGCAAGGACCACTGTCGTTGCCGTACCACTGTCGTTGCCGCAAGGAAGCCTCTGCTGAGAGGAGACATCGGATCCGGAGGCCGAGCCTGTCTATAAAGGAACCCATCGAATCCTAACGACATGCCGGCAAAAGCAATCCAGAGGGGACCGTTGCGAGCAGCCGAAACGACGCCAGCGTTAAGTCGAATCCCGCGCGCTCAAGGATCTAGGACACGCGACGCGATAGCAAGTTGCGAGGACTCGCTGAAGCTTGCGAGATGGCTCGCGTCCAATCAGGGCCGATAAGGCTTATCACGTGGGCCCACGGTCGCCTGCGCGCCCCCGAAGGGACCACGGGCCCGACACTTGCGCTGTGGACTCCCGAGCGAACGCATGTGCGAGAGGACGCAGGACATCAGCGGAAAGTATCGAGAGGACTGCGTGGTGAGACGAACTTAACGTATTGTAAAGCCGCCGATTTCCGAATCAGAGGGATCGCACGCATCCGCGAAATTGTCGTTGGATCCCGTGGGGTTGGATCCTTTCGCGAGTAACTGTGTCGCGGCTGCACGCGCGCACCGCGTGATCGTGCCATCCCGTCCGATATCGTTTTGGTTTCGTTATAATTTCGAGTCAGTTATTTTGCACGCCCGCCGCGGCCACAGCCCGGTCATTCTGTATCGTATCGACGCGTCATAATTCTGTATCGTATCGTCGCGTCATAATTTATTATCGTATTGTTGTGCCGTAATTTTGTACTGTTGCGTCTCCGTTTCGTGCCGCGTACTATCGTTGTCATAGTAGATCCTAGATTTCAGAGGATGTTCTCGCGTGTTCATTCCGAAGATTTTCGTAACTGCGCCATGGATTTCCGTAACCGCGATACATGCGTCGCGTAGAATTACGATAGAATCGAGAGCTCATCCATCAGAGAAGAGAAGCGGTTACTTAATACCGCATGTCGAGAACGTATCGCGGAGGCCAGAGCGTTTGCATACCGCAGAGTTAATCCGTCTGCCTGTACGTCGGAAACCGTGTAATTGATTCAGAGAATATATTTGTTATTATATCATTGTTATTAATTCTGTCTATTTTACTGTTATCTTGCCTTACTCGTTCTCCAAAAGATCCTCCGTTCCCGACCACGAACCACTCCCTCTGCCATTATCGTGGCTGAGCAGTCGGTTATTAGAGCCGTCCGTGTTCGTGATTCTCTACACCTCTGTATTTTCGAGTGAGAACGTACCGAAAAGATTTAAGAAAGAGGGGCACGCTCTCTCGTGCCTGGCGCCCAATCATTGACGTTGAAGTTTAGAATATGTAAAATTTGAGAAAGCCGTTGTGGCGTTAAGCCTTTTTAATGTTGTCGTGAAGGTATCGACTAAAGAGAGGTAGAGCAATACTCGCGAACGCGCGACATCACTCTCGTGAGTGCGGTCGCAATATATATATATATATATACAGGGTGTCCAGGAAAAGACGAACAACGCTTAACGGGAGATTCTTGAGATCATTTTGAAACGAAAATTCTAATACCAAAATGATGAGGCTATAATAATTTTTGAATTATAAGCGTTTAAAATTAACGAATCATATCATCTAAAGTTGGCGCGCTCAGGAGCGGCACAACGGAAAGTACTAAACGCGAAAACTGATTTATCGGAAATTGTTTTGCATATCTGCGCACAACTTCACAATTTTCTTTACGCGTGAAATTAGCCTCTTCGCCATATTAAGTAATAAGAAATATCATTGAATATTTATTTTTTCGTTTAGTGAATACAACATGGACTATACTAACCAAAAATATTACGATATGTTCCTCATTTATGGCGCAAGTAATCAGAATGCACACGAAGCTGCACGCAGATATGTAGAACAATTTCCGAATCATAGAGCTCCAAGACCGAGTGTTTTTCTTAATCTGATAAATAGAGCTCGTACATCAGGATTATTTGCACTAATAAGGAGAAATGTCGTAGGTCGTCATTTTTATGTCCGTAATGTACATAATGAAGAGGCTGTACTATCCGCTATAGAGGAAGACTCTTCAACGAGTATTCGACAAATTAGTCGTACATTTGGAATGATGAAATCAACAGTTAACAATATATTAAAGAAAAACCAATTACATGCACTACACAAAAGTACAACATTTGATGCCGCAAGATTATGCACAAAGAAGAAATTTTTGTGAGTGGATGCTGCAACAAGAAGGGCAATAGCCGGAATAATGCGAACTGTAATGTTCACCGATGAATGCTTATTTACTCGTGAGGGTCTTTTTAATGTTCATAATTATCATGTATGATCTCAGGATAATCCTCACGAGTACATGATTCACAACTTCCAACACAGATTCAAAATTAATTTATGGGCTGGAATTTTAAATAACACAATAGTAGGATATTTTGTAACTTTTGTCAACATTATGCGCGTACCGTTTTTCGTAGAGAATTAATAATAATTAATAATTTCTAAATATTTTAAATACAATATAATAATAATCAAAATTAAATTTTTTTATTATGTCTTATTTTTTAATTATAATGTCTTATTTTATTATACGGATTGGTCCATTTGAATTGCCTCCCAGGGTAAATGGTGAAATTTATAAAAATTTTTTGGAAAATGATTTACCGATTCTGTTAGAGAACGTTCCATTGCATCTTAGAAGGAATATGATTTTTCAACATGATGATGCACCTACGCATACATCTAGAAATGTTTGTCGTTTTTTAGATACAATTTATCCAAATAGATGGATAGGACGCAATGGACCGCAATACTGGCCAGCAAGATCACTCGATTTAACTCCAATAGATTTTTTTCTCTGGGGACATTTAAAAAATTATATTTATCTGGAGCCAGTACACAATCGGGAGGACTTACACAATCGCATTGTTGAAGCAGTTGCAAGCATATCACCCGATATGATAATCAATGCGCAACAAAGTTTATTGAGACGCGCAAGATTATGCATAGATGTGAATGGAACACAATTGGAACATTTATTATAATTGTGACGTGACGTTTTCACTGTCCGTCACAAGGGTCGTTCGACCTGGCCGACGTAGCGCGGCAAATTTGTCCTGTGTCCTCCCGACGCGGAGGGCGGGCGTGCCGACGCTTGTTGCGATTTTCGAGCGGGAATTTGGAGATTTTTGTCGTCGCGTTTCGCGTAACATTACTATTTCTTTTTGTAAATTTGTCTGAGAATTTTTAGTATCGGCGGCTGAGGTAGGTAAGTTAATGTGCGACACATTCCATCACCTCAAGGAGGCGGCCAAGAAGAAGATAGAAGACCATGTTGGAGGCCCGAGGCCACCCAGAGGAGGGGGTAGCGCACAGGTGATACCGTTCCATACTACGAGGGGCACTATATTTTGAGCCTTGGTAATACTGAGTGTTGTCAGGTGCCATTTGACGTTTTCACTAGAAAGTTTGACATTTTTTATCATAACCTTCTTCAGAACGTTTTGTTATTTGAGCGCGATTTGTATTGTTTACAGTCACTTGAAAATTGT